CGGGGCCAGGGGTGCCGGGTGAGTGTCCCCACGGGCGGGTGGCGGGTGGTGGCCAGGTCAGGGGGCGGGGGTCCAGCGTGGGGCGCGGCCGGGGCGACCTCTAATCGCCCCCCGCCTGGCCGCTGACCCCCGCAGCTGGACGCGGGCTCTGTGGGCAGAGGTGGCGCGACCCGTGGGCCTACCATGCTCTACTCACCGCAGCTGTGTCCTGAGGGGAGGGCCCCACGGGCGGTAGGGGAGCACCCCTCAGCTATGGGGTCCTGAGCTCAAATTGCCCCCTCCTCAGGAAGCAATCCTGAGTCGGCCGGCCCATGACCCAGGAGGGGCCGTAGTTATCCTCCCTCTAGCCAAGGAGTTGGGAGTTAAGGAAGCCCTTTCTCTAGAAGGCAGAATCTGGGGGGTCTACCTGCCCCCAGAAACCCAGAGGGGGCACAGTTATTGTTCCCCCTCCTTCCATGGAGTCAAGCATTCAGGACCCCCTTTTTCCCCTGGGGATGGACAGCTAGAAGCCTACTTGTCCCCCAGGGACCCAGGAAGGGCCCCCAACACTCTCTTTTCCCACCTCTCAGCTCAAAAGATCCAGAGTTTTGGAAGCGCTTTTCCCAGCAGGCAAACTAAATGTCCCCCTGTCCCCAGGAAGCCAGGAGGGGCCCAGATAGTGTTTCCCACCCTCCTAATTCTGGGGTCTGGTGTTGAGAAGAGACCTAGGAATCTCACTCCTTCTCAGTTTGCTGACTTGCTCCTAGTTATTGGTCTGGGGTTCAAGATGTCCCTGGATGCCTAGCAACAACCAATTTGTGGTGGGCCCTCTAACTCCCAGCCATGGAGTAGACAGTCGAAGGCATCTCCTGCTTCCAGGTAATCCTGAGATGTCCCTGCTCCCCAGAAGCAGCAGCTATTGTTTCATCAGTCCTCCACACCCCAGTCATGGGGCTGCAGCTCCCAGTCTGCCATCCAGAACACAGTGTCCCAGTCTGCTTTCCCATGCCCCACCCAGCCCTGGGACCAGTCGCTCAGGAATCTCCCCTGCCTAGGAAGCGGGATCCCTCTAGTCACCTAGGAAGGGACTTAGGTATGATTTCTCCCCACTAGTCCCCGCCCCAGCTAGAAGGAGCCCTAGTGGTGCAACGGTTAAGCACTTGTGGTTCAAACCCACCCCTTAACTCTGCAAAAGACAGACCTGCCAATCTTAATTCTGTAAAGATTGACGCCCTAGAAAACCCTGAGGGGATTGGGGGTGGCACTCTATTTTGTCACATGGGAGTACTATGTGTGGGAATCAATTCCACAGCACCTAACAACAAGGTTTTCTATCTAACTGGGGAAACTGACACCTGTTTCCACCTTCCTGGAGATGAGGTCATGGTGTTTCTCTATCCCCACATAGTAACTGCTCATCCTCACCCTCTAGAAACTGGTGTTCAGAACCTTCCATGAGGGATGGCTGATGTTGATACCTATTCCCTCCCTGAAACCCAGGAGGGGTGCCCAATGTCCCCCACCTCATTCTTATCCCCCAACTGGACACTCCTGAGTTCAGAATGTTTCCTCCCCATGGAAACCCCCAAGTATGGTACCCTCATCTGCTGAGTATCATCAAGCCAGTTCCAATTCATAGCAGCCCTGTATAGGGTTTCCGAGGAGCAGCTGATGGGTTTGAACTACCCACCTTATGGTTAGCAGTCCATTGTTGATCCTACAGCATCACACCAGGACTCCTAACCTCCGCCCCCCAGGGCAGGAAGCCAAGATTGTAGTCAAGAGCAAGTGCCCAGCAAAATCCTGGCACTGCCTTCTTCCCCATGAGGGGACCCAGTGTCTTCCCATTCCCAGTCAAGGGAGTAGGAACCTAGGATTCTCTTCCTCTGCAGGACCAGAGCTACCCACGAAAGGAGCCCAGGATGGAGAGAGGGGCAGAGCCAAGGCGTTGGACATTGGAGTCCCTGAGTGCCAAGTCCCCTGACTTCCATCCAGGTGCCAGCTCTATCGGGTCCTTCTCTCTGTCCTGTGTGGCTGGGGTGGGAGTCTTCCTGAGGTTGGAGACAAGAGTGGGATCTAGGCGTGGCCTGGTTGCCTCTCCCATCAGCGCTCAGGTTCCAGAAGGGAACCTGGGTGAGGCAAACGGTTTTAATTATACAACTAAACTGAAAAGTTGGCATTTTGAACCCACTCAGTGGTGCCTTGGAAGAAAGACCTAGCAACCTGCTTCCAAAAGGTCACAATCTTTTTTTATTTTTTTTTAATGTTTTATTGTGAATTATGTGATAGTTTACATGGAAAAACACTAGTTTTACATTCATCTTATTGTATATCTTTTCTTTGCCATGGTTACTATCCCCTCCATGCATCATCATCAACCAACCAAAAGGTGTACCCTACAAGCTACACACCCCACCTCCCTGGTCATCAGCACACAGCCCCTCTCCCTTTCTGGGTCTAAAGTCCGCAGCTGCTCCATCTCTCTACATCATCGTCTCTGAAAAGGTCACATTAGAACTCTATGGAGTGCACTTCTCCTCAGGGCACATGGGGTCACTGTGAATCAGAGTTACCCTCCAACTCCAGCACCAGCTCCACCCACTCTCTCTCCTCACCCTATAGCTCCTGACGCAGAAGTGGCCGGCACCTCGAAACCGGGCATGCGGCGATCCGTCCTGGTCCCGAACCCTGGTCACAAAGGCCCAAGGCCCGTTTATGAGGAGCTCGACTCTGACTCCGAGGACCTGGATCCCAACCATGAAGATCTAGATCCAGTTTCTGAAGATCCTGAAGATCCAAACACTGTTACCGAAGACGTGGACTCCAGCTATGAAGATTTTGAGCCAGTCTCGGAGGAGCTGGACCCCGAGCCAGCTGCCGAAGCTCCGGGCGCCATCTTGGGGAACCCAGACTCGGAGCCCCAAGATCTTGACCCCATGTCTTCAAGTTTCGATCTCGATCCAGATGTCATCGGCCCTGTCCCCTTGGTTCTCGACCCAAACAGCGACACCCCCGACTTGGACCCCCTTTCCTCCAGCCTCACTGCCACTCCCGAAGTCCTACCCACCAGCCCCACGGTGCTAGCAGCCCCGGCCAGCCCGCCGCGGCCCTTCTCCTGCCCCGATTGTGGGCGCGCCTTCCGCCGCAGCTCAGGGCTGAGCCAGCACCGCCGCACCCACAGCGGGGAGAAGCCCTATCGCTGCCCCGACTGCGGCAAGTCCTTCAGCCATGGCGCCACGCTGGCCCAGCACCGTGGCATCCACACGGGCGCGCGTCCCTACCAGTGTGCGGCCTGCGGCAAGGCCTTCGGCTGGCGCTCCACGCTGCTCAAACACCGCAGCAGCCACAGCGGTGAGAAACCGCACCACTGCCCCGTGTGTGGCAAAGCCTTCGGCCACGGCTCGTTGCTGGCGCAGCACTTGCGCACACACGGCGGCCCACGGCCCCACAAGTGTCCAGTGTGCGCCAAGGGCTTCGGGCAGGGCTCCGCGCTGCTCAAGCACCTACGCACACACACAGGTGAGCGGCCCTACCCGTGCCCACAGTGTGGCAAGGCCTTTGGCCAGAGTTCGGCTCTGCTGCAGCACCAGCGCACGCATACAGCCGAGCGCCCCTATCGCTGCCCGCACTGCGGAAAGGCGTTTGGCCAGAGCTCCAACCTGCAGCACCATCTGCGCATCCACACAGGCGAACGGCCCTACGCCTGCCCGCACTGCTCCAAGGCTTTTGGGCAGAGCTCGGCACTGCTGCAGCACCTCCACGTGCACTCTGGCGAGCGCCCCTATCGCTGCCAGCTCTGTGGCAAGGCCTTCGGCCAGGCCTCCAGCCTTACCAAGCACAAGCGCGTGCATGAGGGTGCAGCGGCAGCGGCGGCTGCGGCTGCCGCCGGCCTGGGCCTGAGCCCTGTACCCATGTTGAGACCCAGTCAAGTCTCCCTTATGGGTCCCGACGCTGCCTCCGTTCTGGCCTCCGGTCTAGGCCTCCGCGCTGGTCCCAGCTCTGGCCTTGGCCCTGACCCTGTCTCTGCACTGGGCTCCCTTCCTAATCCCAACCGCAAACCCAGCCCTGGCTCTCCATCCACCTCCCACCCTGAGCCTGTCCAGTCTTCTGACCCTAAGCCTGATCAGGAGGGCAAACCTGACCTGGCTTCTTCCAGCCCTGACCTCAACTCCTCTTCCATCCACGACACTGTCAACCCAGCCGCCCCTACTGATGAGAGTCCTGTGTGGTCACCGGAGCAAGAGGCTCTGCTGAGTCCCGATGGCTGAAGGGAACACTGGCATCCAGGGATCCTGAGGAAGTTGTGTGTCGTGCAGTTAGTAAAATCCTACCACTGCCTACTGGCTCTGTCGTGGTTCACCTCTTGCTCTTTTGTCCTGATACAAGGTCCCTTCCTCAGGAGATGGACGAATGTGGCCAGGGCCAGCCATTCATGGGGGAATCCCAGTGTCCTGGCTTCCTTTCTGGGTGCTAGAGCCCCATCTGTTCAGCAAGTTCCATCCCACAGATGAATATCCTGCCCCTCAGGCCCAGCCACTCATTCTTTGAGTGACCTGGGACAGGGTCCCCTCCCTTTAGCCTTTCTACGTAGCCACAGCTCCTGTGGCAGCCACTATCACCGGAATGATTTCAATGGTGGATTTTATGGCAAGTCTGCAGCCTGGTAGGTTGATGTGAGACCATGTGGCTAGCTAGCCCTGAACCATTTCTCCTTTAACCTACTTCAAAGGCCACGACTGATTTTAATTCTTGGATGGATTAACTCTTGGAACCCAGGCGACTGATTCTTAATTCTGTTGAGCACTGAGGTCTCAACAGGAAGCAAGATAAATAGCATAGGGAGACAAAATATGTAATGTATGAATCATTACAGGATATCGTATGTTCTAGAAGCAGTGTAACAGGACTTCTCATGAACTGGGAGGACCACCTTTCCAAGCTTTCATACATAACCACTGATTTAGTAACCAGATCTATGTGCCCAGCCTGTGTGATTCCTTTGACTGAGGTTTCTTGCAAATGAGGAAACAGCCATGTAGAGATTAAGGGATTTGTTGAAAGACATAGAGGTTGGTGGTTGGGAGTTCCTAGAATAAAACTGGAATCATCTGCCCTCCAGAGCCTGGGTTCTTAACCAGTGTGGTGCAGGGAAAAAGCATGCAAAGGCCCTGGGGTCCCAAGAGATGAGATGGAAGAGGAGGAGGTGGGAGTAAACCCACAAGGCCTTGGCAGGCTTACAGGGGAAGTTTGGTTGTTACCTAGAGCAATGGGAAACCACTAGCAGCCTAAATTATATTTGAAGTCATTTCTGGCTGCTGGGTGGGAATTGGAGGGGGGGCGGGGCGCAGGAGAGTGGACAGGACTGGGAACCTGTGAATACCAGGGAGGAAGGCTGTTAGAAGGGTCCAGCAGAGGACTACTGGGGCCCTAATCTGGTGGTCAGAGGGGTGGGGATAAACCGTTCTATTTGGGATGTCATTAAGGTATGCAATAGGATTTGCTGATGGTTGGGGCAAGGGGCAAGGAAAAGTTGAAACGATCCACTCCAACCCCTCTTCTGGGAGAAAGTAGGGGACAATCTTGAGATGGACATACAGGTCATCGCCTGATACCACGGAAGGCAAACGGTCAAGCACTGAACAAGGACGTCCCGAAGTTGCCACTGCTCGTGGAACACAACAGAGTCAGGGGTGGCTTCAGAGGTTGCCGAGCAGGGTCACACTGAGAACCAGCCCATCCCCCAGAAAGGAGCCCGCGCGCCCGCCCTGGAATCTTTCGGCCCTCCCACCCTCAGGATACCCTCCAGGCCACGCATGCGTGCGGCCCCAGCAGGGGTCGTCGTGGCGCTGGGGGCGGGATCAGAGCTGGTCATGTGTCCCCGAGGGGGCTCCACAGTCACATGACCGAGGCGCGGGTCAGCTGACTCAGGAAGGTTTGAAGCGGCGCCGGGAGGGAGGGAGGCTGCAGTGACGGCGTCGGGCTCGCGAACCCGGGCTGCCTCGCCCCGCCTGTGGCGTCCCGCGCTCCCCGGCCCGGCCCGACCCGGCCCGGCATGGCGGTTCCCGCGGGCCGGCGCGGCTCAGGTGAGGCGCGGGCAGCACCGCGGGTCCCGAACGCGGGCGGCGGGCGGGCGGCCAGCTCCTCCGACCTTGGAGTGGCGGGACCCCGGCTTCCGTACCTAAGCTCAGAGTTCGGGAACTCAGGCCTCGGACGTCCTGGTTCCCAGCCTTTCCCTTCGGAATCCAGGCTCTGGTGGCTCAGTTTTCCCTGAACTCATACTGGGGACATCAGCTTTGCCCACTTCCCGACTTCTCGTCCTGACCTCAGCAGAAAAACATTCAGTTTCCATAAATTCAGGGAGGGCTGGGGGATAGATTAACTCTTGGAACCCAGGCGACCGATTCTTAATTCTGGCTCTTCAGAACCTTGGAATACCAGTCTCTGACCCCTTCCGACCACAACTCGCAGGAGGGTCGGCCTCCCCTCCTTGAGTTGGAGCGACTGAAAAGTGTTCGGCTGGTAGAGTCTGGGTTGGGCTAGCTGTGATCCCGGCTAGGGAGGCAGGGCCTGTCTGGGTCTGACGTCTCCTCCAGTCCTGTTGTAAACAACAATCGCACCAGCGTCCAAACTCCAGAGAGCCGAGCCCTGCAAGACAGGTTCTGATGGTTCTGGGCAGCGCAGCAGGCCTTAGAAAGATGCAGAGTGTTCCAACGTGGTTGATGGGGATGTGTCAGGAACAATTCCGGGGTGCTCGACAAGCTGTAACCCCAGCCGTTGTGGAAACCTCAGGCCTTGTCAGGATTGAAGGAGAGACAGCCCGCAGAAGGATGACTGAGTTTCAGGGGTGAGCCTCGGGCTCATGTTTTGCTTTTTTTATTTCCATTGTACAGATGGAGAGGCTGAGGTTTGGGGTTAGATGTGCCGGTTTACCCAGCCGGGAAGTGGCAGCCCTGGGACTTGACCCCAGGGCTGTATGTGCTATCCAGGAGCCTGTGTCCTTAAGAAGGAGCCCTCGTGGCACAATGGGTTAAGTGTTGCCCTGCTAACTGCAAGGTTGGCACTTCAAATCCACCAGTTGCTAGGAGGGAGAAAGATGAGGCTATCAGCTCCCAGAAATATTAAAGTCCTGGAAACCCTAGGGAGCAGGTGCAGTCTGTCATATATGGTGAGTATGAATTGGAATTGGCTGCACAGCAGTGGGTTGGGTTTTTTGGCAGTGGGTTGGGTTTTTTTGTCTGTTTAGAATCCTTAATACTGGCGCTGTATTAGCTCATAAGATGGTTGGTTGGTTATGTGCCATGGAGTCGGTTCCGACTCAGCGACCCTGTACAGGGTTTCCGAGGCTGTAAATCTTTACGGGAGCAGAAAGCCTCATCTTTCTCCCACAGAACAGCTGGTAGTTTCGAACTGCTGACCTTGCGGTTCCCAGCCCAATTCGTAACCACTATGCTACCAGAGCTCCTTTCATAAGATAGTAGTTCTAGGATAATGTAATCATACCAACAAGGGCGTTGCTTCCCTTATTCGTTGAAGAAGGTCCCTGGCTTGTGGGACTGGGGCAGTCATCTAGCCAGGTTGGGTCAAGGTGAATGTGAAGGTGAGCCTTTGGGTGTGGGTCCAGAAAAAACTGAATGTTGGCTTGAGCACAGACAGCTCCTAGCTGGAGGCTGGAATCAGGCTAAGCCTGCAGACCTGAGGATCCTGGAGAAATCAATGGAAGGATTCCACAGATCAACTCCTGGGATGCTGATAGAATGTTCTTACATTCTCCCTACCTGTCACCCCACCCCTGTGATCAATGCTTTCTAAGCTTCAAAGTCTCTCCCTGAGAGATGAGATTGTAATTGTTAGGGTTCAGACCCACAGTGACCCTGTGCACAACAGATTGAAACACTGCCCGCTTCTGCGCCATCCTCACACTTGTTAAGCTTGTTTGAGCCCAGGGAGAAGATGATTAGGGCCCCATTTTACAGATGAGGAAGCCGAGACTGGGTGCCCTGGGCCAGGAATCAACTCAGACCTTTTTGAGTTCCAAACCCCAGCTCTTAACGTCTGAGCAGTACGGCTAACCCCTGACACTATCTGTTGCTATTGCGTCGACTCCCAACTCATGACAACTCCACGTGGGTCAGAGGAGAACTGCTCCATAGAGTTTTAAATGGCTGTTTCTTTTTGGGAAGTTGATTACCAGGCCTTTCTTCTGAGGTACCTTTTGGTGGACTTGAGTCCCCAACTGTTTTGTTAGCAGCTGCACACGGTTAACTGTTCATAGCTCTCTGGGATCCAGTACTGCTGCATATACCCCTGAAATGCTGCAGATTCCCCAGTTTTTCTTGGACCTTTCAAAATCTTCCATGGTTAAGAGTGTGGGGCCACCAGGAGAACACAGAGCCTGAGGCAGGTTGGCTCCTGAGCTCCACAGCTCTCTTCCATTCCCACAGAGACTGAGCGATTGCTGACTCGCAGCCCCAGCTATGGGACCCAGGCAGGAGCTTCACCAGCTCTCCCAACCCCCCTGGAAGAAGAGGACCTCCGCCGCCGTCTCAAGTACTTCTTCATGAGTCCTTGTGACAAATTTCGGGCCAAGGGTCGCAAGCCCTTTAAGCTGATGCTGCAGGTGGTGAAGATCGTGGTGGTCACTGTGCAGGTGAGGCTCCACCAAGCAGGGGCCCCAGTGAGCACCATCGGTGGCCACTGCTCTCCTCCAAAGAGATTCTTGGAGGGGGAGCCTAGTCCCAACTCCACAGTGGCATAATAGCAGTGACAGCGGCAGTAATGATCAGGAAGCATGTGTCTACGCTCACATCTGTACGTGCAGCACATCTGTATGACAGCTGCTCTCAGCCTTGTTTCATACATGAGGTGATGGAGTCTCAGAGAGGCTCAAGGACTTGTTCTATGTAACACAACAAGTGAACCTGGAGAACTGGGATTTGAACTCAGGCCTCATGATACAATGTTGACACTTCAAGAAATCTCAACCAGTGACTGAGCAGACTGTGGGTGCCAGGTTTTGTGAACCCCAAGATAAATCAGACACAGCCCCGGCTTTAAGAAGCTTCAATCTAGAGTGGGGACTCTGGGCACATTTAAAAAAAAGAGTTGCCACCAAACTGATTTGAACTCATGGCTACCCCATGAGTGTCCGAGTAGCACTGGACTCCATAGGATTTTCATTGGCTAATTTATCTCAAACTAGATTGCTAAGCTTGCCTGCTGAGTGGACTTGAGCCTCTGGCTGTTCAGTCAGCAGCCAAGTGTGTTAACCATTTGCACCCCCCGGGGACTCCTGGCGTGTTAGTGTACCCTCTAGCCACCCCCTGTACATCTGGCAAAGAGACTCATAATTGCTACCTAGCCCATCAGTTTGCAGTTCGTGTACTTATTTAAGCTTCTGGTGGACATTAGCTGCTATTGTCTTAGGATCCCTGGTGGTACAGTGCTTAAGCATTTGACTGCTAACCAAAAGATCGGCGGTTCAAACCCACCCAACAGCTATGCCTGAGACAGGCCTGGCCTTCTGGTCCCGTAGCAATGGTAGCCAAGAAAACCCTGTAAGGCAGCAGCTCTGCCCTTCACGGGGCGTCACCCTCGGTGCTGGGGTCAGATATTTGAGTGCCCATTCTGTGCCGTACATGGGGGAGTAATGGGGTGGGCTGAGCAGACAGGGTCTGTACCCTCAGGGAGTTTAGGGCTGGGAAGGGGGATGAGGGGAAGTCAGGTCTTAACCAAGTAACCACACACAGAACTGCAAGGGGCGCCCGTGTGTTCTGGCCCGCCGCAGTGGGCGTCCCTAGGACCTGCTCTTCCCTAGTCCTCCATCCTCTGCTACTGCCCTGAGGGAGGTCCTGCCCGTGGGTCTTGAATCCCTGCCCTCCTGCCAGCTCATCCTGTTCGGGCTCAGCAACCACTTGGCAGTGACGTTCCGGGAGGAAAACACCGTTGCCTTTAGGCACCTCTTCCTACTGGGCTACTCGGATGGGGCAGATGACACCTTCGCGGCCTACACTCGAGAACAGCTCTACCAGGCCATCTTCCATGCCGTGGACCAGGTGCCAGTGGGCAGAGGGGATGATGCATAAGTGGGCTCGAGGCCGGAGAGTGGGTGCGGTGTAACTAACGGAGCCCCTGCTTCTCTGCTCACAGTACCTGATGCTCCCTGATGTCTCGCTGGGCCGCTACGCATACGTGCGGGGCGGAGGCGGCCCTGGGGCAAATGGCTCAGCACTGGCCCTCTGCCAGCACTACTATCGCCATGGCCATGTGGACCCAGCCAATGACACCTTCGACATTGACCCAGTGGTCATCACTGGTGAGTCAGCTAGTCAGTGTTTAGCTGTCGAGAGCCCAGGCAGCTAGGATTGCAAACCTTGCTTTGTGTGGTCCTCATTTCAAAGCTTGTCATATACACAAGTGCACAATGCTCAGCGTAATGCCAGACACATGGAGACCTCTAGTGGTTCTTCATTAAGTTCATTTTTATTATGTTTGTAGTTTTTATTATGTTCATTTTTATTGTTGTTGAGACCAATACCCATTCAGCAATTTCTCCACGTGAAAGTCAGTGACGGTGATGATATTTTCCGGGTTGGGTCACCATTTTCACCCTCGTTTTTGGAGCCGTTCCTCCTCCATTCACAAACTCACTACCCTGAGATTCCGATCTGATCTGTGCAGTTGTCACTTTAAGCTTCTGCATCTTAAAGGAGCGTAATACTTATTCCTTCCTAATGAAACTCAACTCTGGTTTGCTTTAAAGAAGATGTTGGGATATTTTGGTTTAAGGTTCAGTGATGCTCTTAGGGTCCTAGTTTCAGGAATTCATCCATCCTCTGTTACTCTAGAAAGTCCAGATTCCCCGAGGATTTGAAATTCCGTTCTGCATTTCCCCCCTCTCAATCAGGATTCTCCTATGGAATCTTTGATCAGAACCTTCAGTAACGGTCACTGGGCACCATCCAGTCTGGGTTCCTGGCACGTAGCCACAGATTCCCTCCTCCTCCTCTTCCTGACTCTCCTACTAGCTGTCATTTTTAAATAATATGAACTCACGACATGTTTGGGATCCCACTGAGGGCTTGACCAGGGTCTCAGTGGGTCAAGAGGACAGCCCAGTGGCTGGTCACTGGGAGAACCACCAAGCAAACAAGTGTTGCAATAAGAGGAGGGGGCTCCTGGGGGCTCAGGGGAACGAATGCAGCTTGAGGCCCCTCCCTGGCTCCCTATCCTCAGACTGCATCCGAGTGGACCCCCCCGAACGGCCCCCTGTGCCCCCCACTGAGGACCTCACTCTTTCGGACGGCAGCTTCAGTTACAGAAACCTCACGCTCAAGTTTCACAAGTACTGCCTTCTCGGGCTTTTCCTGCAGCGGTGGGGTGGGGAGGGTGGTGGGAACGCCTGAGGGAGGCTCAGCTCCCAGCAGCCACTTCCCCACAAGGGACAGGGGCCCCGGGGGCTCTGCTGACACCTGCCATTTCCACACTTCCTCTGCCAGCTGCAGAGTTGGCCTAGGGTGGGGCGTTGGCAGGCTGGGCCGAGAACCATCTCCCTCACCCGAGCCCCTGCCCCCCCCAGGCTGATCAACGTTACCATCCACTTCCAGCTGAAGACCATCAACCTGCAGAGCCTCATCAACAATGAGATCCCCGACTGTTATACCTTCAGAATCCTGGTGAGCCTGGGGCTGGAGCCTGGTCAGGGGCCACCTGTCAAGGACATTAGGGGGTGACAGGGGCAAGGACTAACAGACCACCCATCGTGGGGCTGGGAGCAAGTTGGGTTTCACTCTGGGCCTGCCCCCACCCTGCAGATCATCTTTGACAACAAGGCGCACAGTGGACGGGTCCCCATCAGCCTAGAGACCCAGGCTCACATCCAGGAGTGTAAGCACCCCAGCGTCTTCGGGCACGGTGAGCCCTCAGCCCAGCCCAGCGCTGACCAGGGTCCCGACCCTCCCAGAGATGCCCTAAGTCTAAGGGGAGCACTGACGGGTCCTGACCAGCCCACGGTGGCCTCAGAGCCTCAGAACCTCGGACCAGCCGTGACTAGGGGCTTTCATCTGCCCAGGGAGGCCCATCAACCTCAATCCAACATTGACCTGGGGCCCAGCCCTGCCCAGAGAGATCCCCAAATCCTCAGGCCAGCTGAGACCCTGGCATTACCTGCTGTCCCCTCCCCACAGGAGACAACAGCTTCCGGCTCCTGTTTGACGTGGTGGTCCTACTCACCTGTGCCTTGTCCTTCCTGCTGTGTGCTCGCTCGCTGCTCCGAGGCTTCCTGCTGCAAAACGTGAGCCCTCCAGGCCCTGGGGGACACAGGGGCCAGGCTGGGCCCCCAACAAGCCCTCATGCCGCCCACTTTCGCAGGAGTTTGTCGGGTTCATGTGGCAGCACCGGGGCCGTGTCATTAGCCTGTGGGAACGACTGGAGTTTGTCAATGGTTGGTACATCCTGCTGGTCACTAGCGATGTGCTCACCATCTCGGGCACCATCATGAAGATTGGTATTGAAGCTAAGGTTGGTCCGTCCAAACCCCTGTTCCCCTGCCCCGCCTGATCACCAGGTCCTGCCTCCTCTCTGGCCGTGGGGCCACACCGGGCTGACATGGCTCATCCCACAGAACCTGGCCAGTTACGACGTCTGCAGCATTCTCCTGGGCACCTCCACACTGCTTGTCTGGGTCGGCGTCATCCGCTATCTGACCTTCTTTCACAAGTACAACGTGAGCCTCACCCAGCCACCCCTGTCCCGCAGCCCCCACATCCCAAAATAAGTCCACCCTCCCCTGGCACACACCGGCTCCCTGCCACACCTGCCACCACACCTGGGCAGGGCCCCCAGGGAGCCACGCGGGGAGGCCTCCGGCTCCATTGCTTACTGCTGCTCACCATGTATTTTATTTTATTTTTCTGTGCGTTTTATTTTTGTTGTTGAAAGTACAACGGCAGAACGTACACCAATTCAGCCATCTCTTCTTGTCCAGTGCAGTGACATTGATAACGTCCTTCGAGTTGTACAATTCTCACCCTCCTTTTCCGAATTGTTCTTCCCCAGTGAACGTGAACTTACTGCTTCCTCAGCTTCCTAGCTAACCTTTGGCGTTAGAAAGCAGGTGGTTCTAAAGAACAGAAATGTATTCGCCCAGTTCGGTAGGCTAGAAGTTTGACTTCGGGCGCCTGCTCTAGGGAAAGATCTCTGTGGACTCCGGCGGAAGGCTCTTGCCGCGGTCTCTCTAGCCCCGGTGTTCCTGTGGTCCCTGGTGATCTCTGCTCGCTGTCTCTGTCTAATCTCTCTTTCTGTCTCAGAAGGGATTGGTTTAGGCCCTCTTTCACTAAATTAAGGTGCTCTGGTAGCGTAGTGGTTACGAATTGGGCTGCTAATCTCATGGTCATCAGTTTGAAACTACCCGCTGTTCCGAGGGAGAAAGATGAGGCTTTCTGCTCCCGTAAAGATTTACAGCCTTGGAAACCTTGTACAGGGTTGCTATGAGTCAGAACTGACTCCACAGCACATAACAACAACAACAATTACTAAATTATTGGCGTTCTGGTGTGGTGCTGTAGGTTAATGCACTGGACTGCAAAGTTAGTTTGAACCGCAAGGTTGATGGTTCAAGCTCATCAACTGCTCCTCAGAAACCTTATACAGGCTTGCTGTAGGTTGGAACCGACTCGACGGCACTTAATAACAACAACAGGCTAAATTGATCTAAGGAATCCTGGCGGCCCTGTAGGATATGCACTTGACTGCTGACGGTAAAGTCAGCAGTTCAGACTACCATCTGCACCTCAGGAGAAAGAGGAGGCTAGAACGTCTATAACAGGGTCTGTGAGTAGGAACTGAGTTGATGGCCCTGGATTTGGTTTGTGTTGGTTTTATACTGGTAGGGCCTCATGAACCTAATGGGAAACCCTAGTCCCAAATGGGGTGCCGTCCATCAAGCCTCACTCACTGAAGTCCACTGCCCCTCCTAAGCTCCCACCAGTTTCATTGGCCTTGGCCAATTGGGTTGTGGCCAGGTCCTTACCCCCCACCCCCACCCCCGTCTCTTTACAGATCCTGATTGCCACGCTGCGGGTGGCACTGCCCAGCGTCATCCGCTTCTGCTGCTGTGTGGCTGTCATCTACCTGGGCTACTGTTTCTGTGGCTGGATCGTGCTGGGACCTTACCACGTGAAGGTAGGCAGGGCCCAGGCTACTGGGAACCCTGGGAGCTCCTCTTCCCGAAGCTCTCTGAGCCCAGTGACCCTGCCAGAGTCAGGGGGTGTGGCCCCACCATGACCCTGGAGCCCTGTCAGAAGTTGTGTTCCCTGTCTGTCCTCTGTGACTTTGTCAAAATTGATGACCTTAGTTTCTGACTCCCACGACAGACATCTCGGCCTTATGGTGCTTCTCTCATTGGCCCTGTGGCTTTGTCAGGGACACAGTGACCCCAGAGGGCCCCGTAGGACGGCTGAGACTCTGCCCACTGTGCCCTCTGACCCCGCATCCCCACTGCCCCACCAGTTCCGTTCGCTGTCCATGGTGTCTGAGTGCCTGTTCTCGCTCATCAATGGTGATGACATGTTCGTGACCTTCGCCGCCATGCAGGCCCAGCAGGGCCGCAGCAGCCTGGTCTGGCTCTTCTCCCAGCTGTACCTTTACTCCTTCATCAGCCTCTTCATCTATATGGTGCTCAGCCTCTTCATCGCACTCATCACCGGCGCCTACGAGACCATCAAGGTCAGCCGCAGCCCCGTGCGCATCCCTACGCCGCCTCCCGGTCTGCTGTGCCCATACACAGCCTCCAACCCGGGCTTCAGGCCCTTAGGACCCGCGGGGGGCATGGTGGGGGGAATAGAGAAGACCTGGGGCAGATGTGGGGGCCTCTCGGTAGGACTTGTGAAGCCAGAGGAAGGGACCCATCAGAATTGGGGACAGCGGGTGGGGCTGAGTGCAGCTGAGTCCCACTGCCGTGTTCTCAGCATCGACTGGGTGGGGCTCAGGAACGGGTGGGGCAGCAGGGGTGTGGGGTTAGCAGGCATAGTCCCAGCAGTCCTCTGGGGTTACCTGAGGTCATCTTTTTTTAATATTCTATTTTGGGTGAAAGTTCACACATTTGATCATTTCTTTGCAAATGGTTTAGTGACCTTAGTGACATTTTTCACTATGTGTCAGCAACATTCTCTTTCACTACCCTGTAGCTGTTTGGAGCACTGTAGTTCCCCTGCCCTCCTTTTCCTCTTTGTTTTAGAGTAGTTGCTGTCGACCTTTTAGTCTCCTACAGACAGTGTTTAGCACAGCAACCTACAGAGCCCTGCATCCGTTTTTGCCAACAGGGAAACTGAGCCCTACAGTTTCATGAACTTGTCCAGGGTCAGCCACAATGACATGGAGTGAGGCTCACCTCACACCAGATTCCAGAAGCCACACTCTTAACCCCTCTGTCGTGTGGGTGGTCTGCTTGCTGAGGGAAAGGCATTTCTCTTGCAGGGGTCAGGGGTCAGAAGCTGAGGAAGAATGGAGGCTGTTTCAGCCCATTAGGGTTAGGTCTGGGAAGGCCTTTATAATTTGCTGTCTAATACTAGACTCCAGCCCTATTTGCCTACTTACATTTTAATTGTAACTACAATAGAATATAGAGTCCTGGTGTGGCACTGTAAGGTAAGCGCTGGACTGCTAACTGCCAGGTTGGCAGTTCAGACCTAACGGCTGTTCCTTGGAAACCCTAAACAGGGTTACTCTGAGTTGGAACTGACTCAACAGCACTTAACACCAACAACAAAATAAATACACTAGATTAGTAGACTAAAGTAAATAACATTGCAAAGACTGGGTATTCCAGAACACTTAACTTTGCTCATGAGAGACCTATATATAGACCAAGAACAGGGGGACACTGATTGGTTTAAAGTCAGGAAAGGTGTGCAACCAGATGTGTGCAACATTCAGTGTCTATGCTGGGCAAATAATCCCTGAAGCTGTACTATATGAAGAAGAATGTGGCGTCAGGATTGGAGAAAGGCTCATTAACAACCTGTGATATGCAGGTGATATAACCTTGCTTGCTGGAATTGAAAAAGACTTAAAGACTTAACTGATGAAGACCAAAGTCTACAACCTACAGTGTGGACTGCACCTCAATGCAACGAAAACAAAGATCATTACAACTGGACCAGTAAATAGGAAGAAAGATTGAAGTTGTCAAAGACTTTTATTTTGATGGGATTCACATTCGACACTCATGGAAGCAGCAGTCAAGAAATAGAACGACATATTGCATTTGGCAAATCTGCTGTACAAGACCTCTTTAAGTGTTCAAGAGCAAAGATACCAGTTTGAGGACTAAAGTGCACCTGACCCAAGCTCTGGTATTTTCATTAGCCTCACATGCATGTGAAAGTTGGACAATAAATCAGGAAAACTGTAAAAGAATTGATGCATTTGGATTAGATTGTTGGAGGAAAATATTAGAAATACCAAATGCATCAATTCTTTTGTTCCTGCAGAACCCCACCATCCATGGCTGGCTTTGGTAGGGCTCCCACCTGGGCCCTAGACTCCTGTACACACAGCATTTCTGTCAGTTTCGGCCTGCTGTGGTCTTTGGAGTCCCTGGATGTCACAAATAGTTAAGTGCTCCACTACCAGCTGATAGGGCCTCAGGGGAAAGCCCTCGTGATGTGCTTCCAAAAGGTCCCAGTCTCAAGAACAAATAAATCTGTGTTGAAAGAAGTACAGCCAGAATGCTCCTTAGAAGCCAGCATGCCAGCTTCATCTCTCCTACTTTGGATGTATTATCAGGAGGGCCCAGTCCCTGGAGAAGGACATCAGGCTTGGTAAAGTGGAGGGTCAGCAAAAAAAGACCCCCAACGAGATGGATTGACACGGGCAGCAGCAGTGGGCTCAAGTGTCCCAACAGTTGGGAGGGTGGTGCCACACCGGGCAGTGTTTAACTGACGTGATAGCATGTAACAACAACAAAGTAGAAACATTTTCTCTATAAAAAGAATTCAGATTGCTACTTACACCCTTCACAGATGAAGTGTCCAAAAGCCAACTGTAACTAAAAAAAATGCCAAACTAATCCAGTGTTCTCAAGTCACCTCCAACTTGTGGTGACTGCCACATGTCAGAGTCGAACTGCTCCAAGGGGTCTCAAGCCTCTGGCCTTTTAGAAACAGATTGCCAGCCTTGTCTTCCGAGGTGCCTCTGGGTGAGTTCAAACCATCAACCTTTCTGCTAGTAGCTGAGCGCTTAACTGTTTGCCCCACCCAGGGACCCCATTGTGTGCATCCTCCAAATATGGTGGCTTTGTGAGTTGCTGTCAAGTTAATCCCAATGCATAGCAACCCATGTGTGCAGAGTAGAACTGCTCCATAAGGTTTTCAAGCTGGTGACCTCTTGGAAGCAGACAGCCAGGCCTTTCTTCCTACTCATGGAAGTGACCAGCATGGCAGGATTCTCACGGCCTTCCCAACGTGGGGGCAAGATTGCAGTACAACCTGCAGCAGATAATTTACAGGGACCGTGCCTGCAACACTAGAAGGCTAGTGGCCTTCGTCTGGAAGCTTTGTTGACACCTGTCCAACATGGGTGACCCTCCTGGTATTGTTAATAGAGATGGCATCGCTTCCAGCATCATAGCAACACTCAAGCCACCACTGTACGACAAACTGACAATGTTCTTAGTCACTGTTTAGTCGGCTGTAACTCGTGGCATCTCCACGTGAGCAAAGTAGAACTGCTCCATGCGTTTTTAAGGCAGTGAGCTTTTGGAAGCAGATTGCTAGTCGTCTGGGTGGGTTTGAGTCACCAGCCTTTTGGGTAGTAGTTGAGCATAACCCGTTGGCGCCACCTAAGGATCTTGCAGTGTGGCCAGTGGTTACCGTATTGGATAGGTAGGTATTTCCAGCTCAGTAAATTCTGTTGGCTGGTATTTTTCTAGATGGGAGAGACAGGAGCCAATGGGAGAGAGCCTCACAGGGAAGGGAAAGTAAAAGTAGATGGCCTGTAATTCAAAAAGGACTCAGAGAGGAGATGGCAGTGCCAGGGGCTGAGACGGTGCAGGCATTCACTTCTAGTGGGGCCGTGTTGCATCCTGGGTTTGCAGACATGTCTCCCCCATGCATGGGGACAGCCTGTCCTTAGTCACACTCTAGTCACCCTGGCCCCCTTGGATCTTGCAGTAGCACTTAGTTGGCCCTTGTGTGTGTGCCCTGGGAGTGTACAAGGCCAGACCCTGCTCCTCCTACCTGTTGTGAGCCAAGCCAGTTCTGGCCACTGGGACCACAGCCTGCTGCTGTTACTTGCCTTTGAGCTGACTTGGACTCCTGGCAACCTTCCCGTGTTACATACAGAGTGGAACTGCACCATAGGCTTCTCGAGACTGGGACCTTTTGGGAGCACATCACGAGGGCTTTTCCCCTGAGGCCCCTCTGGGTGGATTGGAACCGTCAACCTATCAGCTGGTAGTCGAGCACTTAACTATTTGTGACATCCAGGGACTCCACAGGCTACAGCAGAAGGCCGAAACTGACAGAAATGCTGTGTGTACATGAGTCTAAGGCACAGGTGGGAGTCCTACCGAACCCGCCATGGATAGTGGGGTTCTGCAGGAACAACAGGAAGAGGGACAGGCATTACCAGTGCCCAGACGGCTGCGGAGAGAGGAGGGAAGGGCAGATTCGAGGGCCTTAGAGGGCAGGGGCCACTTCCGTGTCCCCTCCCACACTCCCACCGCCACCCCTCGCATCTCTCCTTAGCACCCGGGTGCCGGTGGCGAGCAGAGCGAGCTCCAGTCCTACATCGCCCAGTGCCAGGACAGCCCCACGTCTGGCAAGTTCCGTCGCGGGAGCGGCTCGGCCTGCAGCCTCCTCTGTTGTTGCGGCAGGTGTGCGGTTTGGGACAGGTTGGGGGCCCGGGAAGAGGGGAGGGTGCCTGAAAGAACTGAGCCTGTCCCTCCCTCTTCTCCCCTGCTCCAGGGACGCCACTGAGGAGCATTCGCTGCTGGTGAATTGACTGGGACTACAAGGCCACTGGACTTTAACCCCGGACTTCCGCGGGGTGGGGGGCGGGGGAAGGAGAAGGGAGCCATGCTTATTTATTTTCAGGATTTGCTTTTAAGGACCGGCTCTCTGCTGTGCCAGGGTCTGTCGGGTCCGGACACTGCGGGTGGCGGGGAGGGTGTGGTCAAGTAAACGGGTAAAGAAGAGCGTTGTTTTCGTGTTTGTTTTGTAGCGGGAGGGACATTTCGTTTTGCCAGCTCGCTGCCAGCCCCTTTAAGGCGCCGCCACGCTCAGCATGGTGGGATGCTCACGACCTTCTCAATATGGCGGGTGGAGGGGGCGGGCTTGCGGCACACCCTGCGGCGAATAATTTAAAGGGACCGCGCCTGAGACGCCAGCTGAAGGCTCGGAGTGTTGGCGCAGAGCGGACTCCGGCTGCGGCCCCTGGGTGAGTCCGGGTTTGTATCGGCCTTGCAGGGGTGTCTTCGATGATCGATAGTGAACCCTCGGCTTTTCCACATTTTCTCATTCCTCTCAAGTTCTAGTAGCCCCCAGTAACTTTAAGCTCCCATTCCTATTTTGGGCAGGTGTTTCTGCTTAGATAGGTGTGCCTTGGGGGCTGAAGAGAGACTTAGCCTCCGCCCTCAGGAAGTTTCCCTGCAACGTTTCAAGTATTTCCAGTTATTTTCTTCCAAATTTCTGTTAATACTCTAGTGGTTCCAGAAACTTAGCCCCCCAAAGACGTCCAGTAATATTCCAACATACCTCAATCTCTTCCCGGAGCCCTGTCCCCAGTTCCAAAATCAAACGCTACTGACTCCAGGGGCAAGTCGGTCCAGCCCTTTCCCCACCAGCAGTGGTCTTGTGGTTCTCAATATGTCAGTAATTTCCCAGCGCCCCTCAGTAATTCAGCAACGTTGCCAGCATCATTGCCTGAGATCCCTAACTATTCTGTTGTGGTTGGGTGTCCAGTCAATTTCTAATCATAATGACCCCATGTGTTATAGTAGAACTGCTCTATAGGGTTGTAATCTTCGGGGAAGCAAATCATCAGGTATTGCTCCTTCTGGGCCACTGGATGGCTTCGAACCACCAACATTCAGGTATCAAATGCTTAACTGTTTGTGCCCTTTCCAAACAGTCAAGAATTTGACTGATACCGGAAAAGTTTCCATAAATTAGAAGCGCACCCAGAGTTTTCCAGAACCTCTCTGAGGTCTATAGGAGACCCCCACAATCCTGCGCGCCCCAGCTCCAAGGTACCCTCCACTCCCTGGGAGCAGACTTAAGTAATTAGCCTGACAGCCGGCTAGTGCCCATTTTTCCGGGGGTGGTTCGTCCAATCTTTGCAGGAGGGTCAGTTTGTCTGGACTTAACAACCTCCCAGGGCCAGAGAGGGACCTACCCAGGATGGGCCGGGAGGGAACCTGGGAGTGTATCTGTCCAAATGCCCTTTGGCCCCAGGGTGAGGTTGGACGGGTGGGGCATCTGGGCGGGGCGGTAAGTGGGTTAAGGGAGCCAGCGGCCAAATGACCCCCGTCTCACCCCTTGCCTGAACCCCAACTACGACTGCGTGAGCCACTCTGTCCAGCGTCGCCCCTCTAGCTGTCCCAGCACTACCACCAGGCCTTCCCGCGGATACGCAGGAGGCGGGGCTTCCGGAGGGGTGGGGTGGGGCCAGAGTGACGGACCACTCCAGCTTCTTTTGCTTCTTTGACCCCCTCTCCCTCTCCCTCCCTCCCAGGACTCCCGTCTGCCATTTACAACAAACTTGAAGCACCTGATGGAGGCCCCTCTGCAAACAGGAATGGTGAGGGTTGGGCGTGTACGTAGTCAAGAGAACTACAACTCCCGGAGTGCTCAGCGCTCAGTATTGCGGTCTCGCGAGAACTAGATGGCTTGTATTTAGGCGGAACTGCTCTTCCCGGCTTGCCACACGGGCCACCGAGCCTCAGGAATAAGTCGCGCCCCTGGGGAGGGCGCAGCACCGGGCCATTCCTCAGCTGGAGACACCGAGGCCCGAGATGTCTGCGACCTCCCCGGGGGCGGAGTGCACCTCCCAGGATGTCTCAATCCCCAGGGAGGTTTCCTCGGGGCAGCCATGCGACCCGCAGCCAGTGCCATTTGTCCCTCAGGTGCTGGGAGTGATGATCGGGGCCGGAGTCGCAGTGCTAGTTACGGCGGTGCTCATCCTCCTGTTGGTGCGGAAGCTGCGAGTGCCCAGTGAGCACCTGGAAGGCCCTTTGGGGAGGCTGTCGGGTGGGAGGCAGAAATGCTCGTGTCTCTGGGGCCGTAGAGATGAGATTTGCTGGGGTCTGCAGTCTGCCTCCCCACTTCGAGACACGTAAAGTCTGTGCGGAGCTCAGATCCACTTCCCACCCATCCCCAGAAACCCCAGCCCCGGATGGCCCCCGGTATCGATTCCGGAAGAGGGACAAAGTACTTTTCTATGGCCGGAAGATTATGCGGAAGGTGAGTTCAGGACCCCTGGGGTCACATCACACTGAGGCCCTTTCCGTAGTTGACCTCCCTGTGCACCTTCACCCACTTCATCAAAGCCCCAGGATCTGGTCCCCTTGTCCCTCACAGATTGAACTGACAATTGACCACCCCACCCACCTCCTTTTACCCTCCCAGGTGTCTCAATCCACTTCCTCCTTGGTGGATACCTCTGTCTCCACCTCCCGGCCACGCATGAAGAAGAAACTTAAGATGCTCAACATTGCTAAGAAGTAAGGCTGTGCTGGGGGCCTACGGGTATCAGGCTTTCTGAGTGGTCAGTTCACATCAAAGGGTGTTTTGCATACCTCTGTGGACTTTTCTCTGAGAAGTTATCTCAGAGCACCCCACACCAGTTGAGCTGTCTGAGGTGGAGGGGGGTCTTGTAAAGGGTTCTTTGTGATGTTCCCCTACCACAGGGGAGGAGGAGACTGTCTCAGAGGTCTTCTATGTATCTGTGGTGTCATCTACAAGAAAGCTGCAAAAAGGCCATGGAAAATGTTCAGTATCTTTTCATTCCATTTTAGTATGAGTTCTTTGAAGCCTCATTGGGGTTATCTCAGTCTCTATGACGTGTTGAAGGGGCTACCTCTAGCCACTGCACTCTAGAAGTTGTCACATCAGTGTGCATCAGAAGGCATCTCTTTTCATCACCTACCCTGCAGTTCCTCCCACACTAAGGAGGCGATCTCAGAGGTTTCAGTTCCCCAGGAGCTGTCTCAACCATCTTCTTGTCCCAGAAACATAGGAAGAACATCTCAGGCGTCTCAGTCATCCACAAGAGGTCTCTGAAAAGAACTCTCCCAGGGATCTTTGTAAATTGAGAGCTGGCTCTGGGATCTCTTAACATCATTGAATCTATGAGAAGGTCTATCTTAAGGGTTTTTTTCACATTAGAGGGTCATCCAAAGGTCTCCGTGATCAACAAAGGTGTTATTGTAGGACTTCTAGGTCTTAAGTAGAAAGACTATCTATAGTTTCTTTGTGATGAATTGAAGGACTATATTTCGGGGCAATCTCCAAGGTCTGCACACCCTTGAGGAGCTACACTGATACCTTCGTGACTATTGGATGGCCATCTCAGAGCTCTCTGTGGTCTGAGGAAAAGCTGTCCTGTGCATCTCCCCCACCGGAAATGAGCTATAGCTGGAGCTATCCATGTGGAGCTGTCTTAGGTGTCTGCCCATACTAGAGGGTCTGTCTCTGGAATCTGGTGATCCATGAAAGGGGCTATCTCAACAGTTACTGGGACTTGAGGGGGGAACTCCTGGGTTCGTGATTGGTGTTATCTGGACTCTCCACATCTACTGAGAGTTACCAAGTATCTCCATAACCATCAGAAAGGCAATCTCAAAGTTCTCCAGGGCTTGTGAGGAAGGACTATCTCAGGCATCTAGTCTGTGACCACTGGAAGGGTTATCTCAGGAGTTCCAATCAAAACAGATACTGTTTCCAGGGTCTGCCCCTATCTTAAAAACTAAGTTGGATATCTGCCTCCTTGAGGGTCTTTCTCAGGGACTATGATAAGGGTTCGGCAAACCTTTTCTGCAAAAGACTAGACAGTAAGTATCTTAGGTGTTGCAGACCATTCAGGCTCTGTTGCAAATACTTCAATCACTTGCCGTTAGGGCGCAAGCAGCCGTATGTGATACAAAATTGTGTATGTGTGGCTGAGAGCCAGTAAAATTTGATTTATAAAGATTGGTGGCAGGCCATCGTTTGCTGACCCGTGCTCCATGTGACCCCTCTCTGCCTGTATCCACTCCTCACCTGCTACCAGGATCCTACGCATCCAGAAAGAGGCTCCCACTCTGCAGCGGAAGGAGCCCCCGCCCTCTGTGCTGGAGGCAGACCTGACCGAGGGTGACCTAGCCAACTCTCACCTGCCCTCTGAGGTTCTCTACATGCTAAAGAATGTTCGGTCAGTGCCAGGGCTGGGCGGGACTGTGGCGGACAAGGTGGGGGCCCACCTGACCTCCTGCCTTTCTTGTCCGTCCGCCCTGTAGGGTGTTGGGCCACTTTGAGAAGCCCCTTTTCCTGGAGCTTTGCCGGCACATGGTCTTCCAGCGGCTCAGCCAGGGGGACTACGTCTTACGGCCTGGCCAACCTGACGCCAGCATCTACGTGGTACAAGATGGACTGCTGGAGCTCTGTCTGCCCGGGCCTGTGAGTGGACCACCTGAGGGAGTCCCAGGTGGTGGTGGTGGGGGCGGCCATTGGGTCAGCGGTCTGGTATATTTCCCACACTGATTTATTTTGATTGATTTTTTTCTCCCAAATATATGCAAGAAGGCGTGGAAAGATGGAATGAAAATTTTCCATGAACTTTTTTGAAACTCTCTCATAATTTTTATTTTTCCCACTCTCTCACTCAATTATATTTTAGCAGTTTAGGTTCTCATTAGGTTCTCTTTCTGTTTCTACACAAATATATTCTTCGCAGTGTGTGAGCATTCCCCTTATTCTATTCTGATGGTTCCGTTTCCATTCATCTAGCTTCCCTCCTTCTTTACAGTCTCATTTGAATTTTTTGTTTTTCCTTTTTCATTGTGACTTGGGTGAAAGTTGACAGAGCAAATTGGTTTTCAGTCAGCTCACTCTCTTTTTTTTAAATGTTTTATTGTGAATTATGTGATAGTTTACATGGGGGAACATTAGTTTTACATTCATCCTATCGTATATTGTTTCATTGCCTTGGTTACAATCCGCTTCATGCATCATCTACCAACCAAAGGGTATACTCTTTAAGCCTGCCCCCAATCGTCAGCACACAGCCCCTCTCCCTCTCTGGGTCTAAAATCCCTTCTGCTTCATCACGCCACATCACGTCTCTGCCTCCATCTCAGGCATCCCTGCTTCTCTGGGTAGGGTCTCGCTCTCCACTCTTCTCCCTTGATGGTCCCAGGGACCTCCGCTCCTAAACTGCAAAGTCAATCACTCCCTTCCTTTTGCTACAAAATGTCTACCTTTACATTTCCAACCCTCACAATCAGTCCTGATAACAATTATTTACTATTGTATCACAAGAGACCTATCCACATTTCCTTTCATCAGCCCCGCCT